GGTGCTCTTGACTGTTGGTCAGACACCATCAGGACCCATTTCCCTCCTGTACACAGAAATATCAAAACCTAAAAGGAAGAACTATTCTGATCACATAGTTTTAGATCTTGTTGATGAGCCCATGACCTTTCCTCCAGCAACACCGTGACAGTTTTAGTTTTACTGCTAGTAAAGCTCTTAGAACAAATAGGCGATTACTTTGTTGTTTGTTCTGTCCAACACCTGCGTATCCGGTAGGTTGAGTTGGAAGCTCGCTCACCTGTGACAGCGTTGTCCGTCCCTTATAATCTGTGTCTGTGTGTGTTCAGATGAAACCTCTCCTGATGCGGAGTACGTGGACCTGCTGCTGAATCCAGAGCGATTCACCGGATACAAGGGTTCTTCAGCCTGGAGAGTGTGGAACAGCATCTATGAGGAAAACTGCTTCAAGTGAGACGCACGTCTGTCCCTCTATAGCTGTGACCATGACGAGCTGTGATGTAATGGGCAGTAACATGAACCTTAACCGTCACAGTTAAATGTCTGACCCTGACCTAAACCTGGTTCTAACCTAAACCCTCAGACGGCCTTTTGAGGGAGTGAGGACCGGACAGCGTCCTCCGTGTCCTCACAGGGTTGGTATCAAACTAAAATTTGTCCCCAGAACCACAGAAAGGCGTTTACACACACACACACACACACACACACACACACACACACAACATATCGATAACCACTAATGCTTCTTTACAGTATTTGAACTGATTATTTTCTGAGGTGAAAAATCAGCAGCAGAGTCGACACTTGATGTGAGGTCAGCATCAGGTGCTGGACATATTCCTCCGCTGCCGCTCAGACACTGATCATTGATCGATCGGCGTTTAGTTAATATTAGACTGATGACTCAGTGTGGATGATCCAGGGCAGAAAACACTTCCTGTATGTGTGTATGTTGTTTATGTCTATTTGTTTTGATCAAACATAAAATACTTGCATGTCTCTTTTCACAGATCATATTTTTATTTGTTTGTCATTTTCTCTTTTTACATGTGAGTAACTTCAGTTTGAGGAAGCAGTGTTTCCTTGGTGTGTATCGTCTTTACAAAATGCTGATATGAAACGACAAAGAAAAGATTATCTGTGTGTTTTACATGTGTTTATTGCCAAAAAGTTAAGTTCTGTGTCCAAGCTGTGTTGGGATATTGGAAATGTTCAGGGTGTTTTTGCAGCCAGAGACGATACTGAACTTCAGAAAGCTGGTTCCGTATAGGACAGGAGATCTCGGTTCTGCTGCGTTCACACTGTTTCCTGAGAAAGATTCTGGTTTGAAGCTGTTGAAAGTTTGGATGTGGGGATTGTTGTGCTCCTTAATAAAAACCCCACATCCAATTGTTCTAATTTCATTGTACTCGTGTACAATGACAAAGTTTTCTTTCTTGTGCCAACAGGCCCAGGTCAGTGTACCGACCTCTGAACCCTCTGGCTCCGAGCAGAGGTGAGTCTGAAAAATCTGCCGGGGGGGGGCACCGGCTCAGTTAAGTTATGATGGTTGAGGAAGCAGCAGGTGAACAGGATCAGCAGGTTCACGCTGACGTGGGGTGGGGGGGTGAGACTATGTGGAGGTGATACTGTATTTTAATCACAACCCAGATTAGGGTGGAAAACTCAGGTATTTTTAAAAATCACTAGAAAAACAGCACTCACTCTGTACATCGGGGAGACCGCATTGCTGCTTCAGGGAAGGTAAAAGGAGGTGGTGTGTGTGTGTGTGTGTGTGTGGTTATCAGTAGCACAGATCTAACAGAGCTTTGTTCCCTCTCTGTGTTCAGGAGACGACGACGGTGAGTGAAACAAACTGGCTTCACCAGAATCTATTTTTAGTTGTGTTGCTAAAAAAATGGCTGATGACTCTTCTGATGTCGCTCATGTTGCAGGAGAAGGTTTCTACAAGTGGCTGGAAGGTGAGTACGGCCTCGAGCTTTCATCATCAGTGTTGTTCTGTGACATTACGTTAGTTTCCTTCTTTAAACATTTGCTTCCTGGTGGCTTTAATCTAGAATAAAGCCTCATCTCTAGTGATGATGGGAAGCCCTTTTCCATTTTATTTGTATAAACCTGAAGAACCTTATCCTGCTGTACACGCAGAAACCTTTAAAACTACCAATTCTGCTCGACATCTCCTGAAACGTTTCGGCCACGTTTCCTGTCATCTTCACAGGCCACGCTCTGTGAAGTTGAGCTGACAGCGGCAGCTCTCGTCTCTCCTCTCTGCAGACAGTCGGCCAGTCACCTGTGGTACGGCCCAGATGGCATGACACCTGTCTGGAGCCCATTTACCCTGCGATAAATCAGGCCACGCTCAAGTGATGATAGTGTTTGATATGATAAGAAGGGAGACGTTAAATAACACACATCAGGAGTGAGGATCAAGGCAAACAGCAGAAACTAAATGAATTACATCAGAAATAAAATGTGCACACAGCAGAGGAACCAAGTAGAACAGTCGTGAGTTGTTGTGGTTACTTATTTTATTTTTACCGTGCAAAGGTAACGTGTTCCTGTTGTGGTCTCGCAGTCACAGGCTGCGCTGACCGGCTGTAACACTTCAGATTTCCAGTCATCAGATAAAGTAAGCTCAGATAAGATATAAATGATAAACGAACCTGACAGCCCCGTGGACAACTGGGAGCACAGTGGTGTGTAGCTTTGTAACAGAAGGAGGCTGAAGCTAATACAAACATAACTCCTTACTTAGTCGGTCACAGAATATATTTTATCACTCGAGCCTGTAGCGATCTTTGGCCTCTCAGATCAGAATCAGAATCAGCTTTATTGGCCAGGTGTGTCGGACACACGAGGAATCTGACTCTGGTACATCGGCTCTCAGTGTGTATGTACATGTCCCCATGCAAGGGGCAAGTAAACAGTAAACCAACATAAGACTGTGTAAGATAACAAAATAATTTACAGGCAGTAAACGATGCAGACAGATGCAGCCTGCTCTAAAATCTGGGTCTGCTACAAAGCTCCAAACATCAACTCTCACACTTCAGGTTATGAGATAGACATTTATACATGTGTGGTTCAGAAACATGCAGCGCTAAAGCAGAGGGAGTCTGAAATGAGTACAAGTATAACTGCTTCAAGGGTCGGTTCGCTTCTTAGTGAGGTGGAGGCAGGACTCTCAGGGACGGACAGATCGAAATACTGGTGGAAAGGAAGAAAACATGTTTTAGTTTTAAAATGAACCTTTGAACTTGTTAAAAAGTATTTATATGATCCACTGCTGGCGTTATTAAAATGTGTCTCGAGTAACTCCCACCCCCCCTCCAGGCTTGTGTTTAGAGAAGAGAGTTTTCTACCGACTCATCTCCGGCCTCCACAGCAGCATCAACATCCACCTGTGTGCAGAGTACCTGATGGACGGTACGAGCATCAGACACAACACTGAAAACTGTTTGCACTGGTTATTATGGAGCTGTTTTGATACTAGCGCTGATGTCGGTGCCAATACCTTAGCTTGACAAATAAAAAGACCAAGGTCTTCAAATGATCTTCTTCTTTGAGCAAAAGAACCAGACACAAGCAGCTGAACAAGAACTTTGTCTGAACAACACATAAGAATGAGCTGATCAAACCATAAGTGCTCCAGACTGCTAACACATACGCTGTGTGCTACGGACATGGTTTGTTCCGTACCAGAACATATTAAGGTTCGATTCCCAGCGTGTTACCTGCAGTGGGCCTGGCTCAGGTTAAAGCAGGTTCCTGTTGTAGGAGTCCCACAGTGCTGATATAAATATATCTGCCATAGGTTTTGTATAGAAATGACCAACATAACATTGAAATGCTAATATTTACCACGTGTTCTACTTTTGTTTGTTAAAAGTTGCCAGTTGATGAAATGACTGCATCATGTAGTAAAGTGTGGCTGCGGGTGTTTGTCCCTCAGAGGGCTGGGGCCGCTCAGTGTGGTCTCCCAACATTCAGGAGTTCCGGCAGCGCTTTGACATTGCAGAGACGAAGGGCGAGGGCACCCGGCGTCTGAAGAACCTCTACTTCCTGTACTTGATCGAGCTGCGGGCACTCTACAAGGTGGCTCCGTACTTTGAACGAGCCTTCATCAACCTGTACACAGGAAACGCTCAGGAGGACGGAGCCACCAAAGACCTGCTGCTGCACGTCTTCAATGAGATCAAGTAAGAGAGGCTCCTCTGCACAGGTCACGTTCCAGCTGGTGGAGATTTGGCTTCTTTCCACCTCAGATGCCACATGTAGATTAAGCAGCACTCCCTGTCTTTGCTACACTGCACCACCATGTTCAAGATGATGGTGCAGACAGTGATGCTGGGGTACTGTGTCTCGTCCAAGCTCAGTGGGCAGTCGGGCAGGTGGTAACCACGTGCAGTCTGTACATGCCCACGCATCCGTGAGAAAAACTGACAGTACCTGTGTGGGGGTAGCACAGGTGTGCACGGCCTTTCAGGAGTAATCACGTCACTTTCTGCACATTTAGCTCTGCTGTCTGTTTAATTTTCTACAAGGTCCTGAATTAAAGCTCTGAATACTGTGCACGTTATGGATTTTGGTTATTATTTTAAGTAAATCTGTAAAAAGAATTCTAAAAACTGTCATTATCAGTTATTGATTGTAGACTGGTGGTAAAAATAAGGCAAATTTAACACAATGTGCAAAAGGTGAAGGGGTCTAAATGACACAATGTGCAAAAGGTGAAGGGGTCTGAATGCTTCGAAACACTGAGCTTAAGCTGAATAACAGGAGAGTTTGTCCTCGTATGACTGATTCCACAGTGATGCATCATAAAGCTGTGATACTCAGTGCTGAAGCAGTCGCACGGGTTGCAGTGCACGAGTTCAACACTTTGGTCCAGAGTGAAAAGATGTCACAGCATCTAATCCGTCAGTTTTCCAACATGTCAGTTAGAGACACCTGTGAAACTTCAGGTTGAGGCTTAGGCTGACAGAGAAACACTGAGCTTAAGCTGAATAACAGAGAGTTTGTCCTCGTATGACCGATTTCACAGTGATACATCATAAAGCTGTGATACTCAGAGTGCGACCTTTTATGTCAAACACAGGACCAGAACAACAAAGACCTGTATGTGAGGCTAAACAGAGAAGTTCACACTGAATCACAAGGTCTGATGCAGACCTCGTTAAAGCAACACACTCTGAATCCAGAACGACAGAGATGTCCTGGGGTCATTCATTGTTGCAGGTCATGTGACTCGCATCTAGTTCACATGTGATTGTAAGGCTAATGGCTCCTTTTGTCTTCCAGAGCTTTCCCCATGCACTTTGATGAGAAGTCCATGTTTGCCGGGGACAAAATGGAAGCAAAGACATTAAAGGTGAACCGAAGGCTCCAACTGTCATGTTGTGTGTGGAGGTTTCTGTTCTGGCTGATGTCCACTATTTGGTTTGTCACTGTTTGATCAGGAGCAGAATCAGCAGTGTCAGCAGGACGATCAGCAGACTGTTTGTTCAAAGCAGCAGTGTATCAATACTCTGCAGCTTTGTAAATAATCTATTATAGTTCACTAAACGAGTCACATCTGATTGAACTGTTTTCTGTCTCACTGTCCTAGTTTGGGCCTTTTCATTAAGACGTGTTTGAGCTAGAACGTTTGCGTCGTAAACAGGAAGTGTGAATTGTCTCGTCTGCTCTCGTTTCCATCCAGGAGGAATTCCGGCTCCATTTTAAAAACATCTCCAGGATCATGGACTGTGTCGGCTGCAGTAAGTGTCGTCTGTGGGGAAAACTACAGGTGAGTCAGGTTCTTTCAAACTTCATTTAGCCTGATGTGATTCCACGTGACTGTGAAGCTCTTTTCCAAGTGAGACACAGCCCTGTAGGTTTGGACTGAAACTGTGGTTCTCTGCAGACTCAGGGTCTGGGCACGGCGCTGAAGATCCTCTTCTCTGAGAAGGAGATCAAGAACCTTCCAGAACACAGCCCATCCAAAGGCTTCCAGCTCACTCGACAGGAGATCGTGGCCTTACTGAACGGCTTCGGCAGGTACGTTCGCTGCTCGTGAGACAGGTGAGAGCGGAGACGCTGAATATGAAAAGCAGACACAAGAAAACTGGTTAACATCAATTAAATGTAAAAGCTCTTTTGTTTTAGTAATGCTAGTGGAGGGACACTATGATCCTCAGAGGATGAAACCTTGTCCTCTAGCGCCACCATGAGGTCAGATGTTTCAGTTATCCTGTGAAATAGTTCAACATCACTTAGATGGGTTTGTGTGGTTCAACTTTCATGTTCCCCTCAGGATTAACCACAGTTTTGTAAAGTTTAAACAGGGAAAGTCCTTCACCACAATTTTTCCAATAGCTTTGTTTATGTGCAGATATTATAAATCGTCACATATGAGCTGATGTTACAACAACAGGCTGCTCTTAAATGACAGCTGGTGACCAACAACAGTCATACCACACTTTCTCTTGTTTTAACTGAAATAATGTTCTCATACGGATTTCTTTTTGCTGTACTTCTGATCGATGTCAACAAAAGTCAACACTTCCTGATGTTTTTCACATTTATTAAGGGAAGGCTGTAAATATCTTATGTTAATGTTCTGCAGTGAGTGTTGCCTCTGGTTCAAGGCCGAATTAGTGCTGTGGAAACAGACATTACACTGAATTTATCAAGACAAAAAGTAAACGTGGAGAAGGTTTAGAGTTTGTACCAGTGGCTGATGTTGGAGATAAAGGCTTGTCTATAGTACAAACCCGTGCCAGTTAAAGACCCGGCTCTCTCTACCACTGAGGTAAATAAAGGTCTCAGACACGTTGTGAGAGCCACGTTGCTGATTGGCATATGTTAGCATGCTAGCTCGTTAACCGTTCTACTTAACCCTCCTGTTGTGTTCCTTTCTCAGGAACAGCAGTGATGTTCCTGGGTTAATTTTACCTTTACTGACCATTTCAATCATTTAATGCAGTGGTGTTCTTTAGCTCTCACAGATTATGGTTCATTTTTCATTAAAAAGCATGTTAAAACTTTTTTTAATGTACATTGGAAAGACCTACATATAAAATACCTTATTTTTTACATGACATGGATTATTTTTAGTTTTATTTTACATTTTTAAATCTTTTCTTTTTATGAAGTGATGTTGATAAATTAACATGAGACACCTTTTATGTTCAAGTTGACCTGAACCATTTTCATTTTATAGGTTGATTACACCTAGTAAGCCAATACCAATAAAATACTTTAAACTATTGTTTTTAGATCTTTTAACTTTAACTATAACAGGAGGGTTAACACCAGCTCTGTCACTGTGAGCGTTTGTACAGCAACAGGAGCGTATTATCACCCACACAGTGATTAAAGGTTGACAGATCATGTGTCTGTCTCTTCTCTCGGCCTCAGGTTGTCCACCAGTATATACCAACTCCACAACTTCCGCCACCTGCTGAAGGAGGACAGGTAACAGGAGGAGCTGTTTGACCTGGCCACTAGGCTGCGCCATGGAGAACTGCAGTAGTGTGATCCTCACCCAGTACAGGTCTTTGTCACGGGCAGCAGTGAAACCATCAACACCCCTTTCCTCCATTTCTGTCCCATGAATCTCGTCTTTCTGCCCTGTAACATCCTGGTGTTAACTCTTCCTCCTCCTCATGCCTTTGTTGGAAGTCTCGTTTTCTTTCCTCTGCTGTCAAACCTGTCAGCCAGAGATGAACTTTGACCTTTTCTCATGTAGATATCTTTTGGTAAAGTTGAGCAGTAAGAGCTGCAGGCTGGTTGTGACACTCGACAGGCCAAACCCTCAGTGATCATGATGCCTGGACGCAGATTAAACTGTGTTCAGCAGTAAGGTCATTGTTACTTCCTGTTCCTGTGCTGACATCACATCCTGTTGGATTTTACACTCACCTGGACCTGATCCAGACCTTTATGTCTCGTCTGTAGTAATGTAGAAAGACTTTGTCCAGAGGAAGCACTTGGACGACACAGACCTTTAGAGGAATGTGCGTCAGGACGTGACTGCCTGTTCTTTGTTTCCTTATCCTCTCGTTTCTCATCATCTCCTGTTGTTTCTAGAGAACTTTGCTGCTTATAGCCTGAGGATCTGGACCAACCTGCCCATATCTCAGGTCTAATTTACATCAGCTCACTAGAATGTGTGTGTGGATGGATCAATAGTTGCAGCTATAATATCATGGACTAGACTTGATTCCACAGATAAATAATCATACACTTGATACTAGTAGCAGATTTTGCTGTTTCATAATAACCAACTCGTGGGTCTGCGTTTGGATGAATGGGTCATCGTCCGTCTCTGTCTAGTTGCCGCTGTGTTTTGCAAAATGCTGCCTGCTTTGCTCTGTTTCTGCTTCGGCTGTGTCTCTTAAAGCTCAACGTTTATCAAGACCGATTTATTTAAACCTAAAAAGTGGGAGCTGTTAGTTTCTCTGAAGACGAATGATTGAGTCAGTGTTTTATCTCGCACTGTAAATGTAGTTTGTTCAGAGAGATGGATGTTCCTCACTAGAGATGGACTAGTGAGCCTGAGAGCTACTGACAGGCACAGGTGTTGGAGGAGGGTGGAGCTGTGCTCAGGCAAACTGTTTCAGGAGCCCGAGTTTCTCTGAGCAAAGAGAATCATGGGATAATTTTCTCACTGTCAACAAGCCCCAGGTTCCAGTTTGTCCGATTTTATTGGATGACCAGTTCCATGAAGACGCAACAAATCAACACGTGACAGAGTTTCTAGATCCTGGTGCCAGAATGACACCTGCTAGTTTTGGTACAAATACTATAAAACTGGATCAGTCCACACATGGTAATGGACAAAATGAAACTGGGATCCTGCTCCAACTGGAAGCTCATACAGAAACAACTGAAATTCAAATTAAGAACGTTTCCTTCATGCTTATCTTATAAAGAGAACTATGTATGATAGTAAACATGGGGGAGAACTCAAACACAAAATGTTTTCACAGTGATTTTCCAGCATCCCCTCTCAGCAGGGGGATAACTGTATCGCCGTCTTTATCAACACACTCTGACTTCCTGTCTGCGGCTCTTGGCTCCAAACCCACTGGTTCCTACTGAAGACACAAACCTTTAAAACACCTCACAAATACATCAAAACCATAGCAATTTCCTGAGACAGCTGCTCATTGTAGTTTCTATCAAATGAACAGGAGGACGGGGGAAGCACTGGGGACTATTTTCAGCGGCGGATGAATTAACATTCAGTGTTTGTGGCAGCAGGACAGTGTGTGTGTGTGTGTGGGTCAGAACAA